CCTGGAATGGGGATTCATTGGCCTTACATGGAACTCCGTTTACCCAAATTACTATGTCTGGATGAAGGAGGAAGCACTACTGAGCAATTGAGGTATATAGCAGACAGACTAAATCCTTCCTGCTGGAATAAACGACAAGAAGAACTAAAAAACTTTTTCACCTAACAATGCTCTACTTCAAAATGATTACAAGCTTAATTTGACAGTTCAATTAATGGTATCTTCAACACACGACAGCTGTGCATTCTACTACCAAATTATTCACAAAGTTGCATGTGCGGGTACATTTGATATAGAATTACATAATTCAACTTAAAAAGTACGAAAACTTGCATCTAAATATTCTCATTTCATTGCTCATTTCTTCTTCAAATATTTTGTATTTAAATTTTTCTTATCTCAACCCAATTTAAAGATTAGATAGTGTTAACATTTGATCTTGCAGTTATAATGTAGGCAATCTGAATGTTTGCTCTCTAAATACCGCAACAGGATGGTAAATCCTATAAACAAAAAACACTTATGTACTTCTAAATTATTAATTTGATTTATGATTATGAGCATGCCTAATCCAAGATAACGTGTCTCTGATAAGCGTAGCGCCGCTAAAAATAAAAATAAAATATTACGATGCCTAAGATAAACAGTTTTATGGTAAATTTGACCAAAAATTTAACTGCACAGCTTTGATTTGTCAAAACTTTGGTTTTCAAAATTTCCTTCAAATGCTTAAGAAGAAAGAATACTTGTGGCGGCCTACTCATAATCAAATTAGGTGGACACTAAAGTTAGTTCCAAATTTTTTGCATACTTTTCAATGGTATATCTTTCAGAAATGTTGTAACTAACTTTGGAATGGCCTTTTCTTCGACTATGAATATACTCTCGTATTTTTCCGGAACAAAAATATTATATTACTGCGAAAAATTCCATTTCACAGTAACTGCATTAAAAAAAAAAACATTGTTTACAGTACCATATTTTTGAAAACGGTTTTTCAATAAAATAAAGGAATTACTATAATTATTTGTACCTGTTGTACACACCGAGACAAAACGATACGGCCCTGTGTTGGGCCATCTACATAAATCCAAATTTTTTTCTTCGTACAAAATTTATAAAAAGTAAGCAAATTGCACAGCGAAAATTTTCAAGTACGGAGTGTTTAAAAATACCGTTTCTTTTTAATTTTTTAATTTTTTTTTGCTGATACTGTCACGATTTTTTTCAATACAAAGTCACTATGTTCGATAATTGGTTTTGTAGTTATGGATGAAAATAATAACACCGTCGGTAAGAAAAATTATTAAAAGTCAACGCGAATTCCTAGCCTCTTGAAACTTCCACATTATTATTAGAATTTATTGGGCTACGAAACTGCATTGCTGAAATTTTTCTATGAATAAACAGTTTGTTGCAAAGTTTTTAATTTCAAAATGATCAGAGATGAGTCGTGGTATGACATTTTTTCTATAACTCCTGCATTTATGGAGCACAGAGCATTAATATTCGCATTATTTTCACTCATCATCAATAGAAAACTTACAGTGAATTTTTTTCAAATCCTTTGGTAGTTTTTCATTATTTGACCAGCAAAATCAAATGCTTTTGTTCCGATTCCCATCTCTTCCAATTTTTTGAAATTTGTTGCACAGTGCTAAACTAATGCACATTTCCTTTTAAACTGAGTATCAGTAATTGTACATAAAAAAAATTATTTTTAAAACTAAATATTGAAGCGGTAATGAAAACATCACCTAAGATTTTTTTAAGTTATTCAAGTGTGTACTACAAAAGGTTGTATTTCGACACACTGATACTCAAAAATTTCAGGTGCTTTTATTGAACTTGTCCATAATAGCTTTTTAGCTGAATAGATAAAAATTTGGTTAAACACTGACTCATACATATTTTAAACGAATTACCTTTGCATTGGTGCCTAGCCTGCCCTAGCGTATGAGTAACTTATTAAATTTATGTAATGGCGTTTTCGTTTCTACAAAAAATGTTGCCTTCTCATCGCCATCTTTTTAGTGTTTGTGCGCAAAGGCAAAGAGAAGGTTGCATTTTTCGCTAGAAACGAAATCGGCATAAGGTCTTTGGAAAAATGCAGATGGGCGGATAGGAAAGTTTCTGGAGACAAGTTAGATTTGTCTAAAAATATATATCTTTATTTCGTGTAAAATTACCCTTTTTGGAGGAAAGTTTCACCAGACGTCCTACTACTCTGGTCGTTCCATACAAAAAAAAAAAAACAAAAAAAACGGATTACATATCGAACACGAAAGGTTCAAGGGTTCACAGTATCAAGGCGAAGTGCTGCTAGAAGGTCTCTATTATTTCTTTTTATATGAATAAAAATACTATGTGACTAGTAAATAATATTAATTTTACATGCCAAAGCAAAGTTTATCATCATTCATAAATTACAGTAAACAACAAATGTGGCTGCAGCGAGCTTGCCATGCGTACCTACTTACATACATACATACAATGATTTACACACATTTGCGATAAAGTCAACACCACGCTTGTCAATCATACAAATCACTTACACACTCTGCGGGTGATAGCAAAAAAACAAACAAAAAATATATGTAAATAAACGCAGAAATAAAAAATTGTGTGGTATTTAGCCACTTATTTAGTCAATGGTAAAAAACAAATATGCATAGAAATAGTGCTCGTATGAATATGAGTATGCGTAAACCAATTGATTGCTATCTTTTGAATGACACTCACTGTTTCAAACTGATATTTTTACTATGTTGATTGATTTGCCAAACGGCAATTTAAAATTTTACTGCCTGAACATCAAAATGCTTTTACAGGTCTAATAACTTTTGCTTTGGTTTTATTTAGTTTTTTTTTTTTTTGTTACTCCGCCAACAAATGAATTCTTTGTGGTTTATTATTTGGATGTTCCTTAAAACGAAGAAGCGTCAACGAAAACAAATTTTGGCTTATAGATTTTTTTTGGTTTATATTTTTTTACTCTCCCATATCTATCTAGCTGTATTTTGTTAGCTAATTTCACAAATTCTTCATTGCTTTTCATTTGCAGATATTCCCAAAATCATTGGCGTCAGCGATGTCACACACAAACGTATATGGCGTGCGCTGATTGGCGAATTTTTAGGTACCTTCTTTCTGGTTGCCATCGGTGTTGGCAGTTGCACTGGCTGGGGAACGTATACGCCATCGGTGCCGCAAATTGCCTTCTGCTTCGGTTTGGTGGTTGCCACAATGGCGCTGGTAAGTGTGACCAAAAAAAAAAATATTTATTTACATAGTACATAAGAGAACATACATGCCGATGAGTGTATGTATGTATGTATGTTTGTTTGTATAAGTACAAATACACCTATGTGTTGTATTTATACAAACGCATGCCACAATTTGTTATGAATCATTCTAAGCCGATATTCTATTATCTCAATTTCCAATTAAGTTATAATGTTTTTAATTAACTTTTCAAGTCGATCCACTTTTTGCAAAATCTGCTCCAAACTTCATTCTAAAACAAGTTAAAGTAGCAGTTGTTTATCAAACGCAGCTAAGGTCATTGACGAGGTCAGCCAAGTGATTCAAGTTAAGTACTCCTCACGCTTTTCAATTGCTCATCTCCATTTAAATCGCTGACAAACAAATTGGAAAATATTGGCAATTAAATAAGTTTTAATGCGGCAGATTAGGGTAGGTTATAAAAGCGGCGAATGTTAGTAAATGCAATGACTTGATGCAATCCACTATCAGATACAAATTAAAACAATATAACATCAATCTTATAGTCATACAAATACAGCAAGTAACCGGCGTGCTTCAATAGCTCGGTAAAAAAGTTAATCCTACAAAAAGAACAGAAAAGTATATGAATAATCAAAAGATTTCAGAAAAATACTGAGATGTATAGGAGCTGAAACGATTTGAAAAAACCTAAAAACAAATGTTTTTTTTTTGTATATATAAAATCCCCTCAGATAATAGAAAAGTTTAAGTTTAGAAGGTACGAATAAAAATACTTAAAATTTCATCACCGAAATTAAAATAATGAGAGTTTTTAGATGGTATTTTCGAAACGGTAAACCTTAATATTCTTTCCGAAATTTTTTGGCGGAAGTCTTCAAATATAACACCATGCCACAAAAGCCAAAAAAAATCAAAAAATTAAAGAAAAATCTATTTACTCATAAAACTAGTAATGTAGTAAAACTGCGTGTTTAGTTTTTCTCTCTCACGTCAGGATTTTTTAAAAAGACCTCATAAAATTCCAAAAATATGATGTAACTCAAAAAAAAATTCTTAAAAAAATGAAGTGCAAATGAGAGAAAAAACTTTTAAAATTAAAAAAACATTAAAAATTATTCGCAAGGACGAACGGAGATTGGAAATTAAGTTATTTTATTAATATAATAAAGTTAAAAGAACGAAATTCGAAGAAGTGGTATTGTTTTCAAAAACAAATATTCCAATTTTTTAGTTATGTATTCAAGGAAAAAATTTTTAAATGACATTTTCGATACCTTTTCGTCCTAAAAAAATTAGTATTTTTCAATTGTACAGAATTTTCTCTTTCATATACAAATTGTTATTCTACATTGAACTGATTTATTTTTAAGAATTATTTGAATAAATCAGATCTGTGAAGTTTCAAAGTCCTTAAAAAAATCCTGATGTTAGAAAGAAAAACCAAAAACGCAGTTATACTATATTTGGCCCCTGTCGTACAGTGTAATAAATCGTATAATTCTGGTGGAAAAGCATTCGCTATTTTGGGAGGCGCCCTAAATTACAAATTCATATATATGTTACCTTTTCGTCTACTGCGTTAATAGGTGCCTACCTGGAATCCAACTTCATTTCTGCCACAATATAGAATTTAGACCAGCACTGTTATAATACTCATTATAAATAAGAAGTATGTACTTTTATATAAAGTTATTACGTATCTGCAAGTTTTTGTGATTTTATGTTGAGGCAGAAACCTCGAAATGGATCTTGACATTCATATTTGCAAATTTAGGTCTCATCGGTCTCCAAATTCAAGATCAGTCTGAAGCCTGTTATCCTCATAAAATTTTTTTCTAACTAATTTTTCTAAAATTTGTATCATTTGCAGCCCAAATAACAAACAAACGTATATATTTTTTCATAAATATCAAAGTACTTTTCTAATTTCTTGCAGAATTCTTCCTTCAAACTGTTAATTTGCGCAAACTAATTGGTAGAAAAAATCATTTGAGGGAAATGATGTGCGAAAATTTTTCAGTACTAGCAGTTGAAGTAAATACATACACATGCAAAGCTTCATTTCATTTACAAAATTTTAGTTTAATTTTTTTTTTTTACAATCCCATCATTTAGAATGCACGTCACCACTGTGCATTTGACTTTAAAGCACACTTAATAAACGAGTAATGAACTCATATTTAG